CAAAAAATAAATAACCATACAGTATGGTTATTTATTTTTTGAGCATTTATTTTTAGATATGGCAGAGTTGGTCCTCCATACGCACTAGATTCCTGTTAAAGTATTGCCTGACATTCGCCACCTGCGTGAAAAGAACCAATTGGGAGTCGAAAGAACCGATTCTGCAGTAGAGCCAGATGATGCGGATCCTAAACGGAGAGCCGTACTTCTCTTCAGCTCAGCGTCTGTGCCACGTCACACAGCAGAGCGGCTGTAGGGCGGAAGAAGCAGCAGAAACACCCACGGTGCTTTGCGTAAGCATGAAGCCCAGCCTCATTCACGTTTAACGCTCATCCCTGGTCAGGATCTCCTTGTGAATTTTCACACAGACTGTATCCAACCTGCGTTTTCACAGGTAAGCTAACAGCTCCTCCAGTTAGCAACATTTCCTGATCGTTAGTTGTTGGTGAGTATCTCTGTTTGCCGCTGTTAAAGTGGCCCGATGTTAATATCAGGAAAGAAGTGACTGAAAGCTAACATCATTTTTTTTTTAACTAAGAGATTATTGTAAATTATCTGAATCCACACAGATCCATCCTTATTTTACTTTGTCTGGCAGATCAGTAAAGTGTAAAACTATGTCTATTAGCATGATAACTCCATCTAGGATAAAGGGATCTGTGATTAGGTCTGTGAGGGATGGACCTGTTTCGTTTTACACATCCTGGAAGATATTTGCTTCCGTCTTGGAAACTGTGCATCATGAATGAAGCTGTAGTTTATTGGTGGGTGTGACTGTGTACTCTGGTTTGGCTTGTTTGGTAACCTCCAGAGCCTGAAAATGTTTTACAGAATGAAGGGATATTACTCAGGTCAAAGTTTGGTGTAACTATCAGCAAATATTCTGTCTGGGTCGAACAAATTGACCTGTTTGTACCTTTTACAATTCAATGGAAGAATCATTTAAGTTTTTTTTTTTGTGTTTTATTACATATTTATTGAGTTTTTTTTTGTGTGTGTGTCCTAGACAGAGATTGTGGAATGCTGCTGGACGAGTCTCCACTTTTTGATCCCTCTTTGCTTCAGGAGTTGGACTGGAACAGTAACACTGTGTCCTTCTCACCCCCGATCTCACCATCCAGTCCAGGAGATGACCTGCTGCTCAGGCCTCTGTGTACGGCAGATTTTAATAAAGGTGAGTTTTTATACCTTTATGTATGACCTTTTATTTACACTGGAAAAACAATCTATAAATGAATAAAAAAAAAAAATCTTAAATTAAGTGTATTTACCCTTAATTTGAGGTAGGTAGATTAGATAGTTTGCCAATGGAATGAGTATTTTTACTCTTAAAATAAGATAATTAGATAATATGCACTTGAAATAAGTGTTTTCTTATTTTAAGTGTAAATTGTCTTGTTTCATTGGCAAGATGTCTCTTTTACATCCTCAATCCAAGAACAAATGCACTTATTTTAAGAAAAAATGACTTATCTGG